ACATCATATCTGGTATTTTTTTGGTGGCTTACCTGCTCGTGTAATCCGCAGTGTATGTTTAACCCATTAATGCCGGAATTTTTATTTTTTGATTCTTAAGTTGCCCTTAACAAATGTTAGCCACGCGGGTCCCAGTAAGAAAACTGTGCAAGCTTAAAAAAAATATTCCATCGGTTCTCAAGTTATAAGCATGGGTCATAAATGACCCAACCGGCATTAGTATAGTCACAAATAAGGAGTTATCACGAAAACCGATTTAGCTAGATACTGATTATTTAGGGACATATTTGTGTTATGAGGTTATCGGTGGAGCCAACAAATAACTAAATGTACTTACTTTTATTGACGTTTCGGTTTCAAACAACCTTCGTCAGAATAGAATTACAAGTTACGTCTCATATTTCAAAAATGCACATATTTCAAACACACTGAGAACCTCACACCGATTAGCTAGATACCTTCTTGTGTATACTGTATAGCGGTTTCAGCCAAACAATACTAAGAGGCACTGCATTGCAATGCTTTGCAACGTCAAATTGGCGAGGCCGTTGGTGCCGGTGGCAGGCCTGTGGTGCCCCTGCTGGGCCTCTGGCGCTCTTGACACTGTCAGGGGCACCATAGGCCTGAGAGGCCTGTGGTGTCCCTGGGCCCTGACAAGCCTGAGGTGCCCCTGACAGGCTTGTGGAGCCCCTGACAGGCCTGCGGTGCCATTGCTAGGGCTGTGGTGCCCCTGGAGGCCTGTGGTGCCCCTGCTAGGCCGCTGGTGCCCCTGGGTCCTGGCAGGACTGTGGTGCCCCTGACAAGCCTGAAGTGCTCCCGACAGGCCCGTGGAGCCCTTACAGGCCCAAGGTGCACGTGCGAGGCTGGTGGTGCCCCTGTGAGGTCTCTGGTGCCCCTGGCAGGTCTCTGGTGCCCCTGGCAGGTCTGTGGTGCCCCCTGGCAGACCTGTGGTGCTCTTGCTAGGCCGATGGTGCTCCTGCAGGCCTGTGGTGCCCCTAACAAGCCTTTGGTACCCCTGACAGGCCCGTGGTACCGCTCGGCCGGCCGAGTCGCCGGCCCGCCCCTCGTCACGGCCCCGCACGACCAGTCCGCTCATGATATCCCAACATCGCAACACTAGGTCTGTGGTGCCCCTGTCAGGCCTGTGGTGCCCCTGATAGGTCGGTGGTGCCCCCGGGCCCCAAGGGAGGTCATAAGTGACCCATATGACCCCCCTCCCTTGGATCCGCCACTGGGATCTGATCACAACCCCCAGAAATAAGTAATCGTATAATCATCAGTTGCTTCCCTTGTATTCAACATACGAGAAAATTGACAACACTATTGCCGGCTGGGTCATTTATGACCCAATGCTATTTATCGAGGAAAAAAAGTTATCCGATGGCGACAAGAAGGGCAAAAATATACATCATACCTTTTTCAGACAAATTTAAATGCCAGGTGGACGATCATTCAACAGATAGTAAGGTGCAAACATAATATAATATTGCTTTTTGGGGCGGCGCGCCATTGCTAGTGACCGGCGACTGTGCAGTCCCGTCGTCTTTGGCTCCAGAAACTTCAGTGGACGAGCTCACACAAGTTTTATGCGGCTCCGACGCTCGCCACTGAACTCACAAATCCAACAAAACATACGCACAAGTTCCTCAAAGTGCCACTTGCCTCCATTGAGAAAAATCATTAAGGTTTTGCTTTTGGGTCATATATGACCCAAGCGGCATTAATGGGTTAATCTTGGTGTGATCATCAGACGGTTGTCTAAGTAAGTACTGTCTGTGTGTCAACTTTTTACAGTCTACTGATTCAGGTGTACTGCGGTATAGCCTTCAGACCCAGGTGTACTGCGGCACAGTCTACCGATCTAGGTGTACTGCGGCACAGCCTACCGATCCAGGTGTACTGCGGCACAGTCTACCGATCCAGGTGTACTGCGGCACAGTCTACCGATCCAGGTGTACTGCGGCACAGTCTACCGATCCAGGTGTACTGCGGCACAGCCTACCAATCCAGGTGTACTGCGGCACAGTCTACCGATCCAGGTGTACTGCGATACAGCCTACCAATCCAGGTGTACTGCGGCACAGCCTACCGATCCAGGTGTACTGCGGCACAGCCTACTGATCCAGGTGTACTGCGGCACAGCCTACCAATCCAGGTGTACTGCGGCACAGCCTACCGATCCAGGTGTACTGCGGCACAGTCTACCGATCCAGGTGTATTGCGGGACAGTCTACCGATCCAGGTGTACTGCGGTACAGTCTACCGATCCAGGTATACTGCGGTACAGTATAGTGTTTGCGATACACCCCGCGTTCGATGTCTCTCGGACGGCGAAGATTCTACGCCGTCCGGCCAATCACGTTTCATAACCGCAACCGAGCCCCCGCTGACCTTGGACGGGATTGGCCGGACGACTTAAAATCTTCGTCGTCCAGAGACATCGAACGCGGGGACAAACTTTTGGTGTACCTACTGCGGTACAGCCTCACGTAACGTAATGTAATGATGAAAATAGTCTATCGATCCAGTTGTACCGCAGTAAAGCCTACATAATATGACCGATCCCAGCGACCTGATGACCCAGTGTCTGACGATAATGGGTCGTGATCGTCTCCGATCCTTTAATGTGGGTTTTCCGCTTTGGAGGGGAGACATGTCAATTTATAGGAGTGCGCCTGTATACTATGTGGGTTCAGGGCTACCGTCAGTCAGTCTAACGTACGTGCATAAATCAAGACACAAAATTGCGTGTGAATTGACGCATTCCTACATACACACCTCACACACCTCTTTTCAGTAATAGTTTCTTCGTGCCGCTCTCGAGTATATAATTCGATTATGGTACATACCTGCCAGTTCCTCGCACCGGAGCTCGTCCAAAACCACCCTGAGCTCTCATCACAAGCGAGGCCACCCCCTGCACTCAGAGGCGGGAAGGATGTAAAACGCAGTGTTACGGCCCGGACACTCGTAAGAAGCTCTCACAATGAATGAAAAGATCAGCCGCTGGTGGCACGGCCTGGCCCCGTGTAGGATTAGCTGATGTGAAGCCTCACGACGAAAGGTTGAAGGTGACGTAAGCTTAGGACGGATGCGTAACGTGTGCTAGACGGTAGACTGTGAACAACATTGTGCTCTCTCTATTCGGACTTTGTTGTCCGCAGAAATATAGGTCATTTGAACTCCTGTACATTACGGACGCTAAAGGTTTGTTGACTTTTGAATAAAGCAATTTAATCTACCAGGGGCGCGGGAACTACTTTCCGACTGGGGGGGGGGGGGGCACACCATAATAGAGATTAACCTAGGGTACCCCCAAATCTAGTTTTCTCACCGGTTTTAGGCCTTTTATTTTTCACCCCTCGGCTTTTTCAACAAAAAAAGAAAACATTTGCAAAACAAGTGTGGTATTCCGTCTCAAAGCTGTGGGGGCACCGCCCCCACGGCCCCAGAGTTGGGGGGGGGGGGAAGCTGCCCCCACTGCCCCCCCCCCCGGCTCCCGCGTCTATGTAATCTACAACTAGGTGTAAAGATAAGCATAAAGATTAAAGCTAGGTATATAAAAACGCCTTTTAAGTGTACGATAAACCAAAAAGCATACATATCATTGCTAGGAAGGTGAAAGGTCTGCTCGATTGACGACAAAGCAAATTTGGGCTGTTCACTTATCAAGATGATCGCTGAATGCACGAATGACGAATCCTACGGTATATTTTTTTTAACATCACTCCCGTGCATCTAAGTAGGCAGCTTGCGAAATGTAAGGTGCGAATAGATGCGGTACACAGTATGTCGCACCTTGGGCTGGTGGTAAACGGTAGATAATTATTCTCTCGAAACGGTCTGGTCGTGTGCACTGTGCATGTCTGTCGGTGTCATTTTTCCGCATTGATGACTTGGATGATGAAAATTGGGGAACGAGCTGAAGGGCGCCACAGCACCTAGGGTAAATTATGCGTAGACTTGTCCTGCAAACTAATTCCAAGGATAGCAATGTTGCAATCTAACAGGATGGCTTACCCATGCACCGTTTTGCGGGCAAAATATTATGATGAGTAATGCTGTATTCGCGATTTCGTGAAGTGTAAATAGGACAGGTGCTTGAAAGACGGATGACGGAAAAGATGACACCATTGTTCAATGGACAATAGCATGGTGGCCAGAAAACCGACTTAACTGTTTCCTCAATGATTTTGTTTGTTTCTGTAGCACACCATGTACGGAAACTAAAAAATGACGGGCGCTTCCTGTTATCAAAACAGTCCGCCAGCATGTAATAGTATCTCGATATTGTCACTGACTGAGGTCCCCTGAGGCCGAAACGTCTGGCTATTTAGAATATTTGCTTTTGTGTTGTCACCGAATGTGAATAGGCATCACATTGTCTCGTATCATCAGCTAAAAGGCAAAGATTCTGCCCTTTTCCCCGCCTCGTATTGGGTAGAGAGGTTAGTTTAATTTTTATTTCAGGTCATCATATTTTGACGAAAGCAATATACATATCGACACCTTTTTTAAAACCCCACATCTGCTCTCCCGTGAATTTCCGGGAGGCACGAAAGATCTCCTTTTAAAAGTGTCCAATCGTCCGATCCTGATCAAATATGTGTGTTCGTAGGCCTGTTCTGGTATTGCTTTATCTGCCAAGACAGACAAACTTGAGAAAAATCGAGTGATTGTACCTTTTTTGAAGGTCTCTAACCAACTTGTCTGAAATTCACCGGAGAACAAATGTGGGGTTAAAAAAAAGGAGTCGATATATTACCAACATTTTCTGAGAACTAATTATGCTCTTGCAAATCTTATCGCCGAAGTTTTAGTACATACATGAAGGTTGGATACCGACTTACTATGCACTGCAGCAACTGAGCAACAAGATGTGTGCGTACATCCCAGCAGCGATTACAACACCTTGGTCTTTCAGGTGACCACCATGCAGCGTCCATCTGTGCGACGACTTTAACGCAATGAAGAGACGAACACACATGAAAACGAAGCTCGTATGTATAAAAGATCTATTTCCAACACCATCATGTTCAAAATAAACGCAGTTGCACATCATACCTTATTGCACCGAGCTGTCAAGCTTCGACGCTCAACGATTTCTCCATACACATATTCACTGAATTTTAGTACACTATGCCATATAAACGGGCATTCGATCAACATTGCAAAACGAAAAAAGCAGTATAAGACGAAATGTCCCTAAACTCATGCAGATTTGACATAATTTAAAACTAGTGAACAAATCACAACATCACAGCTAAGTTCAAACCGGTCTTTCTAGGCGCATAACCTCACTGACACTATAACTGGCAAATACCGACGAGTAGAAATACAAATACCGAGCGCAATATACTCTGAGGATTTAAGTACACACGATTGTTCCGTACCTGTCACCCGCAGCATGACCAAATAACAACTATACTAAAATCCACGCCACAAGCAGGGAAGTTACCGCTCGAACACGAGGCTAGCGTCTCCCCAAATCTTCACAGCGTAGCGTCGCATTTGCTCGTCGCCCGGTGTGGCGGCTCGGTGGCGCCTCCCGCGGTCCCAGCGGGAGGCGTTAGTGTGCGGACTGGCCACGCGTAGCGCCACTGTCGCGGCATGCGGTGGAATGTGGCGCCCAGCTGGCCGCCCCGGTCGGTCGGTCGAGTGGCGCCCCCAATGGGAGGTGGCGGGCGCGGAGCTCATGTGGCGGCCGTGCGGCTGGCGACGGCGGCCACCAGGGCGGCGCCACGTCCGCTGCCGTCCTCCGACAACATCAGGTCGAACTGAGGGGACACGGACACGGAAGTCAGAGCGCAGCCGGGAAACGCAACGACACGATCACAAACTGAGCACGTTACAGCACAAAACAGGGGTTCGGGCACACCAATACAAACATAACAAACATAACAACCTGGTCAACGAAAAAAAAACAACCTAGTCCGTATGTCCAGAACAGGACGATAAAATCTTCACTTCCACAGATCGACTTGGTAGCAATGATTTCACCATCACTCCATACCCCAAATACGACACAACTAGACCCTCACAACCCCCACCTCTCCCCGTAACCCCACCCTCTCTAACCGAGCCCCACTAAGTTACCTTCATGCCGGGCCGGACGAGCCGGGAGATTTGTTCGCACATGAGCCGGTGCACGTGCGGGTGGTAGCGGTACACGGAGCCGTCCACGCCGACCGTCACCGACGGCCGGTCCATCTTGTTGAGTAGCACCGCCAGACCGGTGCCCACCAGGAACGCCGCTCTGGGGACGGGGAAGGGGGAAGGTCAGGTGGGAGTGTCGCGGAGCGCGGACCGCGGCACGACGGCGTGGGATAATAGGAACGGGGCTTCGTGGGGTGGTCCGAGCCTCCTGTGGTTACTGATTATGGACAAAATGGACAGTAGGTGGAACACTCAGTCTACTTAAAAATGTTTTCACTCCTAGGGAAATACGAAATTGAAAGCTGTATTGTGTTCAATACGAAATAAACTTGATTACCAAATGGCGACTGTCGAACAATTCGCAAAAAGAAAATCAGCAGCTGTACCATGCACGCATAGGTGCGCTTAATAGTGTTATTCAACAGCTCCTCACCAGATCAGATCTCAGAGCCGCAACCCTCCCCCTCCCACTTGTCGACTGCCCATCTCCCGAATGACTTCCTCCCAGCACAAGAGCCTCACCTCCTGGAGACGACCTCGCAGACGTATCGCAGGTTCTCACAGTCCTCATCCGTGGCGTGCTCAATACCGAGCTCCTCCAGCACCATACGGCAGTTGGTATAGTCGCCCGGCGCGTCACTGAGTGAGGGGAGGGGTTCACAGGTCAGAAGGGGCTCCACCACTATTCGGCAGTTGGTGTAGTCGCCCGGCGCGTCACTGGGTGAGGAAAGGGGTCACAGGTCAGAGAGGAACACCATTCGGCAGTTGGTGTAGTCACTAGGTCAGACGAGGGGTTATTAGCAAACTACATGACAGATGACACAGCAAGTTTGCAATTTGATAGTTCATCCACAGCAGCTCATTAGCAGCAAGATTATACGCTAACTGTACCTAGGTTAAGAAAACTAAAGCAGTCTTAGTAGCGTGTAACTGACAACCTCACTATTGCTATTTTGGACATGACTGTGAGCGACGAGCGATTGCCATTTCAACACAGTCAGAGCTCAGAAGCACATTTCATTGTCAGTCCGCGCCCACCCTCTACAGTCCCACCTCCCCGGGTCTGTCCAGTGTCCACTCACCTCTCCACCTCTGTGATGTACTTTGTGAAGAAGCCGCCGCGCTCAAACAGCGCGTCCGAGCCCTGGCCGCCGAACAGCAGGCCCTGCTTGGTGAGCTTCTGCACCAGCTGGCGCGCCACCTCACCCAGGTACATGCCACTGATCATCTTCTCAAACAGCTGCCGGCCAGGGTTGATCGAGTGCTGGTCGATGTCGCGGTCGTACTCTGTAAATACATATGTGCGAAAGGGGGTTATACATTAGTGGGATAAGCTTTTAGCAGTTCTTCGAGCGATGATCATGACTTGAGAGTTGAGACCCTTGCTACCTCAAAGAAAATACCTACGCTGTCTTTCGTGCAGCAATGACGAGTCCATTGGTTTGACATGGTGTCCCCCATTTATTTAACCACTCCTAACCTGTCTAACGATTCTCCTCTCATCAACTCCCGATCACCATTGCCTAACAATCACCCTCATGATCCGCCTAGTACCCTACCTCCACATCTATATTCGGCGCGGCCCTTCTGTCTCCCAGTCCCTCCCTCCCTCCCCCACACATACCCCTGACCTCTCCACACCATTGCTGTCCCCCTAACCGACCTGTGAGCACCGAGTCGAGGTCTCCGCCGCCGCCGAACGCGCCCCACTCGGTGTTGATGAGCACCTGTTTGGGCTCCTCCCAGTCCCCGTCCCACAGACCCACGTTCTCCAGCCGCTCCACGTAGCAGGCGTTCGTGCCGGTGCCTGTCGGAGGGACACAGTTTCAGTAGGGACAGCCTGGGAGAGTGGAGGCAGATTGAGAACGGTGATTGATGGCAGGCTGAGCCGTTAGTGTAGCGGCCAGCTGGAGGACATTAACCAGTCCTGATAAATGATATCGCATGTGACGAGCAATAAACGTAGCATACGAGGATTCACCAATGGATACCAGAATAATTAGAAAAATAACTATAACCGTATCTGATAGTCCTAACCAGAAAAAGGTGATTAGATTACATTGCCAACAACCAATCGTTTTTTTTTTTTGACTCACGCACCGATGATGAGTCCGATGTATGTGTTGTGGTTTTTCCAGGCGCACGACATCAGCGTTCCTGTGGTGTCGTTCAGTACAGCACACACCTTGATCTTGACGTCCTGTCGAACATGAAACGGCGGCGTTAGTACAAAAAGGCGGCATCGGATCACAATTCAGAGAAGGAAATGAAGAAAAGCATGTCATGCCGAGGGAATATGTGCGTGATACGGCTGCTGCTTCTAACAAAGAAATTGATGAGAAATTTTCGATAAATCACATTGATAATTGATGGTCATTGACACTTAACGGCAGACAACTTCTGTTAAATATGACCATGATAAATCATTATGGGGCATCTTCAGTGCCAGCGATGCCTACCAATACATTCCATAACCTAGCTCCGTCCCCCTCCTCCCCCCGAGCGACTGACCCCGCGCCTCTCGATGGCCTCCTCCAGCAGTTTAACAACATCCTCCCCCTCCACTCCGCTGCAGCTGAAGCCTTTGGTCCACTGCGTCAGCCGCGCCTCGGTCAGGCCGTGCTGGCTGCACGGGAAGCTGAACGTAAAGCCCAGCGGCAGCACCTCGTGCTCAATGTGCTGCATGTGCGCGAACGTCGACAGGCACTCGGCGATGTGGTCGAACAGCTGAAACGAGAGGGGATGGTCAGTCACTGGGTGAGGAGCGGACGGGGCTCACAGGGGAGGAGTTATTATTGAGAGGAGTTGAGGGACAGACAGGGTCTAGGAAGTGATTGCTGGAATAGGTACAGTCAGTGGGGCGGGGATGGATAGGGTGAGCTGGGAACTAGCCACTGGGGGAGGGGTGAGGGCTGGACATGGAGCGGTCACTGGGCGAATTAGGATCAGATGTGATAGGGACCGGGGTGCGGAGATGGGGAGGGGGGTTGCGTGGCTTCCAGATAGCACAGAGGTCGACACAGTTGCGCAATGTCACGGTGGTCAAGTGGCTGACAAACATTGTACGGTTCAACGAGTCAGGCTGACCGTGTCGTCACATCAGGCGACCAATGGGCAGAGTCGAGCAGTCGGCTGAATGGAAAGATATTCCTCAATATAAACCGTAATTCCAATGATCCTACACCAACAGTAAGTCGCCCTACGCTCAATCGCCGTCACGGTAAAATCCTTAGGTCAGCCACGGATCAGACCACGTTGAGATTGTAAATCCAGCGACTCAGCATGGCTCGGCATCGGAGATGAGACTAAACTGCTCCTGGCAGCTCCAGGCTTCTTTTGTGATTAGAAGAACAAGCATTATGTATAAGAACTGGTCTAGCGTTTTTGTAGGGGATGTTTTTGCTCGCGCACAATCAAATAACTGCCGATCAGCTCCTCGCGTCATCACTACCTGATCCAATCGTGGCAACGGAAAGCGATGGCGCAAACATAATAAATCAAAATGTCGAAAATCAAGTAAAAAGTAAGTTTGGCGGAGTCGTAAAAATAAGGTTCGTTCTCCATGGATTTAAAACATGTCAATGGTTCTCCTCACATTCGTGTGTCAGTGGCGATGGATATGGATGTCTGTGAGTGTATGGGGGATGAACAGTGATTCCATTTGATCCCGTGTTTACCCTCACTGACAGGCGGTCTGAACCAGACGTCCTCGGTCGCCGCCAGACATGACCTTTCCCGCTGAACCCTATGGTGTGACATGCTGCGTGTACCTACTGTGTACGCTGTGTGTACTATATACCCACAGAGAACACGGGATAGGCACGCACGTGTCATGTCGTACACGTGCTGAAGAAAACACGGGACAGAAGACATAACAACAGAAGAAACGGACCAGACGCGCGGCGGTGCTGAGGCATGGACTGTAAAAATGACACATGTAATAACATTGGAAAGGACACATGTTTGACCTTAATATGAACAGATGTAAGAATGTAGGAGGAGGCCGGTTAAACACTCCCGCACATACTGACTGAAAAACGAGCCCCATACGGTCCAGTCTCTAGTGACATCGCGACCGAGGCTATCGACGGTGGAATCAATGGTGGAATCAGAACAGGCTGGGTTCGACCATTTGCATGCTGCCCTAATTAGACTGCAACCTAATTGAGCTAACGAAGCTGGGGAATTTTTAGCCGGCGTCTGTGACGCTCCTCTTAGTACTGCGATCATATTCAATTTCATAGGATACCGACCTTACGAAAACTCTCCCTCACTTCTGCATAACCGGCTCGAGTCAACACATCTGCCATACACCTACCCTCCTTTTAGCTAAGCCCGAAGACACCCACCTCGTGGCCGGCGCCCTGCATAATGCTCTGCGGCACGGCGAAAATCTTGGACTCCATCTTGAAGTTGCCATCGTTGAGCTCGATGAGGAGGACGCGGAAGTTGGTGCCGCCCAGGTCCAGCGCCAGGAACCGGCCGCGCTCTGTAAACAAACACTGATTGGTATTAACCTTCGATTGGGTTCAAAAGACATTAGACACAACACATTTATTGTGTCAAATACCGCCAGTTTTCTATAATTAACTGGGATTCTTCTTCGCTAGTCGCACAGTATTTACGCCAGAAGCCATTACAGGTAGTCTAGCTGACTCGACTTTGGAACTTCACTACTCAAATCTCGCTATATCAAATCAAGGATCATAGCAATAGCATCACAAGAACGACTCTACTAGTTTTTCTTCGCCTACCGCAACAAAACGGTAGTCACGCGAAACAGAATGAAGCACGGCCCGCATGCCGTTAACGTCTGACGTGCGTGAACTGATCGTTGCCGAAGGGTTGAACGGGCCGCGATTGGCCCACCGCACTGTCCCGACAGTGTAGCCTTTCACCGTTCGGCGAGTTTTTGGCCGTTTCCGGGCGGCCGCGGCAGTATCGGTTCTGACAGAAACCCCCCGGGCCCGCCAGCGGACATTCCGACACCGCCGATGACGTCTGTGGCTGACAGCTCTCCTGGCGAGCTCGGCCGGGGCGCGTAGGGAGGGCTGCGAGTGACGCACATGGGCCACTGCCGCTGCCAGCTACCTTGACAGTCACTCACGCCGGCTGTGTACCTCAGCAGTTCCTGACGACTGGGATGGATTTTAATGTGGTCGATTGAATAGGATGTTATAAATAGCCCACCTTTCACCGTGTTCAATAACCTACAAATTAGAATAAGCCACGCCTAGCTAGTTAGAAATGGTGTGAAGCAGGTCCCAGCTGACGTCAGTTCCGCTATAAAAGCAGGTCCCAGGTGCCATCAGGAAGTAACCGGCAGCTGACACAAGGGTCAGGTGATTGTATCACAGTGCGGACCGCGCCCCCGGGGTCAGCGTCCGGTGGAGAAGTCAATACTGGGGTTAGGGTGCTAGCAGAGCGTAGAATAATTTGACTTATAGTGGTACGCTGCTTAACATATATTCACCATAGTGTGAAGTTGAGCATAAGGAAACAATCCTTGATACTAAAAAATTGAAACAAAGCCACCATGTTTTTGTATGGACATGAACAACGTGCTTTTATATATCTATCGGTAGCATGTTGTTCATGGTAAGATATTTAAATAACGTCTTTAATATCTCAGTACTGACCAGTTATATCTCTGCCCCATCTCGCTGGCATCACTAGCTCCGATAGGAGACACGTGACATCTGAGCCAGCAGCCGCACCCGTCGTACCAGACCCTTCCCTCCCTCCCCTTCCCGTCTCCGGCGATCTCCAAACATTCCAGGCGCGTCTGACCCGCCGGCACCGCCCCCCGGCCGGCCCTGACCCCGCCCGGGCGCCGCCCCCAGTGGCCCCGCCCACCCCCTGTCCACGCTAACCAACTCATTGTAGGCGGCTGCACCAACATCAAGGGGCTCACATTACGTCTGCATATGCACTAAGTCATCTTAGTGCAGTCTTTGTAACGGTACCAGGCACATGACCAGTCACGGGAGTGCTTTTTAAATTGTTTGTCCTTGCTATTCACCTTGAAGAGCCCATTTAAATCGCATCACGCCTAATTTGCTTCAAGGCTCGCTCATCTACTAAGTAGTTATCATCCCTCCCCTTCCCGACCTACGCAGTAAATGTTAGCCTACCATGTCCGTTGGGCAGTTCCTTGACGTAGGTGGGGAAGCACTTGACGGCGGCCTGCGCGTTGGTCTCCTTCCCCAGGCCAAGGTTTATCTGCTTCATGAGTTTGTCGTACACATCCTGAATCTGTTCAGGAGTCAGCACGAGCTCCTGACAGAACTCCTCGATCTGCCGGACAGAGAGGGGCAGCCGTACTGGTCAGAGGGGTACGGGCGCTGCACCGGAACTGCGGACATCAACACAGGTGACGGGACATCTGGGCGAGACAGGTCAGCAGAGCCTCGATCAACAGCGACGAGAAAGTGTAATCGGAGAGAGGTCGGGAGACGTCAGCACGGACACACCTCCACAGTCGGCACACAGTTTGACATCTTTCGGAAGCACGCTTTGCCTAGGCTTGATCTGCATCTGATATTCAATTACCAGAAAAAGACGCCTACGAGAATGTTAACTAGCTAATCAGCCACATTGAACTGAAGCAGCAAAGACATGTTTTCCTAAACGCGCTTCAAGACCAAATTCCCAAAGTTGTACCTAACTTAACGGATGGTGTCCTATCCTATTCTAGGATTCCGATGTTTATAGTAGCGTCTCATGAAGTCATGCAGGCCACCATGCAGGCCCTGATCATTTCGATCCCGGGAAGATGCGAGCCGCGCGGCGGTGCAGCGACATGATGCAACCGTTTATGACACGTCAGCGAACACCCCCGACCTGTGGCGTTCCGAGCGGCCCACCGGGGGCGGGCGGCGGCCACCTTCGCGGAAGAAGCTGCACTGCACCGCTGGGGGCGTACCCTCGTGTGTGTACCGTAAATCGGGGACGGACCGGCCACGTCACTGGGGGGCCGGTGAACTGGCCAGTGTCAGGGGTCAGGAGGGTCATGGGGTGCTCGACCGGCAGCGCCAGCCCCCCCCCCCCCCTTACATAAGCCGTCTAAATATTGGTACCTACGATAACAGTTGATCAGTTTCCACGCTGACTCTTTAATGCAACCAAAACATTGCAAAGTACGCTTTTCTTAGCTTTTCTAAATTCCAATTTTGAAAAGGATAAAACTTTTTTTTCTGAATTTTTAACGTTCGGTATTGAACCAAAATTGGACACATAACGACTGATCCAAACTCTCAAAACATTTCATCTTTTCACCATGAACAATTCACAAAGCTCCCCATGGAGGAGCTCCCGAGCTCTCAACGACCAATCCACTGACAACTGACACGTGAGCATCTGCCCGGCGGCAGCCGGCGGTGCCTGACGGTCGTCGTTGAGGGCACCTCACGTGGCCTGGGCGGGTGCCAGGGTCAGCCCTACTGCCGACTCAGGTGCGGGCTGCGTCAGAGGCCGGCGCCGCACAAGTGTCAGGGAGAAACAGATGGGATGGCTGGCGGGCGGGGCCGGCGGAGGGCGGGGCTCGGCGCGCAGGGCGGCGGCCGAGGGCGGGTCGTCGGGAGTGTCGTAGGACCAAAGAATCTTGGGTGGGACAAAAGTATAGCAGGATATGGCTACCACGAGGCAAGCCCGCAGAGACGCACTGTGTAGAACGAACTGCTTAGTGCTCAACGATGATAATGCATAAGCAAAGCACTTGACTTACAATACATTAAATATAGCAATATACAATTAACTACACCATCTCTTCCATTCTTTTTTAAGAATGGACTTATCCGACTCATTTTCAGATGGGGATATTTGCCGGACTGACCAAATACGAGCACAAAACCCACACAGTAGCCGGCACAGCCAATATTGACACAGGCTACACTATCCAGACCCGCTCAGTGCCGTGTTTGGGTATGTCCCTCTGTTGACGCTGGAGGCCCTGCCCCAAGCCGTATATCTAACGTGCATCATTAATAACCAGACGAGATTTATAAACATATTGACAAGGAGTTTCAATACTTAATTAGCAAGTTTCCGAGGAGCACGGAGGTAGTCAAGCTGGTTCATTTTTTTTCTTCGGTTTATTGTACCGTTGAAGCAGAAGATTACTGAAATGTCGTCTGTCGATCCCTGATGAAACAGCATTAGGTACAAGTTTTACCCTGAATGACCGTCTGGAAAGTGGAAAGTGGAAATTCCTTTGACAAAATATCAGAGCCTTGATAAGAGCACAAGATCATTTGATCCCTGACAGACTTCATCACTTCAGTCTGACATCTAAACGTTGGAAGAGCCACTGGCTACTATTCCAGTCAATGATTCGGGCCAACTGTGCAGAAATATATCACGCTTCCGCCATGGAAACATTTCCTTTGAAACAAAAGGTCAGGATTTCGCAACCCGAAATGTGCCTGCCAAGAGATTGTGCAATTTCACCTCATTTCCCTCCAAAAAGCACAACAGCCCTACACAAAAAGACATGCCAACAGGTTATTTGGCTCGATATCAATCAAGCATGCTGCAGGATATTATTGGACGTCGATCAGAAAATATTCTGCAATAGCTGCTACGTGAGAATACCACTAGCTTTTGGTATCCAAAATGATCACGTACAACTGAAAACTAAGATCCTGTTTGAAGTTAAGGGGGTGCGCTATTGCAATAATAAAATGATCGCCTGGTGCAAATCTGATAAAATATCTCCCATGTTAATTCATTACAGCAAACATACAGAAGTGATACGGCAAAGACACAATGGTCAGTACCTCTTTGAACGTACCTACCTATTGAATTGCCAATTGCATACCAATAGCATTTGCAAGCCCGTTCCGCTTTGGCATGAACCCATAAACCGCAGCTGACGCAATGCACCCGGATATGAAGAAAGAAACAAACCCCTTCCTACGTGTCGTCATCGCACGTCCCACAGTCTCGTGACCTAGACCGCGTCGAAGAGAATCGAGCACGATAAAACGCCCCCACCCCCTCCCCGCCCAGCCGCCAGCCAAACATCGTGACCTACAACGCAGAAGGTAGCGATCGCACGCGGGTGTCAGAAATAGCCTCCGCTCCTCCTGCCCCCTGTGAAATGGCAACGGGTTATCGATTCCCGGGCTTGCATTGCATCACGCCCTGCTGACCGGCCAATCACGAGGCAGCTGGCAGCAGAACGACCAATCGGCGGCGAACACCGAGGGGTGTGAGCGCGCGCCGTCGTCCTTCGGCTAGGTCAGCTCCCAGGAACGGGAACGGGGTCTACCTCGACCTCTCTGATAGCCACGAATACGGGCTTCGCTTATATTGAAGAAAACTTAATACACTGAATATCTTACATAAACATTATGTTTCCCTGCATTAGGTATTCGTCACTTCCTATAGCTTTTCAGAAACAAAATGTTTAGCTAAGATCGATTCAGATTGAACCATGAACAGCTCAACAGCCGTCGACTTGCTTTTCATTTGAAATATGAATGAGCCAAATAACTGTCAAACAAGAGCCAAAAACGTGGTAAAAAATCTTAGAATCTGGAAAGTGCGGAACGAATAATGAGCTAAGGCGGTGAGAACCGTGCGCGCAATTGAGCAAATCAATAAGCGAAGCATGCTAAAAAGCAGAATCGCTTATCACCAAAGTTTTAACAAATTAACACAAGCTATTTGTCATGCGACCGGCGACGCGAACTCTTGTCGTTATGAAGCAACCAAGGTTATTTAAAAAATGGCCACGCTAGGCACGAGCCCAACAGCAACCCACGTCTTCATGGAGGCATCGGTACATAAGTAAGAAAGGTAAAGCTTACAAAGAAGGCTGAATTCATCATTAAAGCGTGTGAGGACAGCAGCAAACAACAAGCTAAGGAGTAATTCCACGCAAAGTGCAACACACAACTATTAGCAGAGCACCCAAACCAGGTGCGACAGGTCACGCTCCGGCCTGGTGGTCACGGAGAGGTCAGTGGTCACCGGTCACCGGTCACCGTTCACCTACCCTGGCTGAGGTCGGCGTGGCCATCATCAGTCCGCGCTCCTTGGGCGTCACCACCGGCGCCCGCAGGCTGCTCAGGCACTCTGGCATGTTGTCACCGTTCTCCGCTGCTGTCTCCGCTCCGGGCGCTATCTCTGCGATCTCCGGTCGGCGCTGGCCGTCTCCGTCTGCTCGTCACTGACGCTCTGCCGGCGCGGCGCGTCCGTCGGTGGTTTTGAGCCGTCCGCCCGATAGCGTCACCTTGCAGTGTCCTTCAGGCGGTCTGCCACGCCCCCCGCGCACGCGCCACAGCCGCCGGGCCTCCTGACGCGCCCCTGCGCCGCTGGCAGCGCCGACGGCCGACGGCTGCGTCAGACCGCCGCGGGCTTTCCGACGCAACCGACGCTGGGGGACGGGGACCACGAGGGGCGGGGGCGGGGTGAACATCGACCGGTGGTTCCGCTGGAGGACGACGTATCTGGAGTGGCCCACAGAGCGGCATCCGTCCGGAAGTCCCGAGGACAGGAGGGGGGGGGGGGGGGGGCAGGGTAGACCCCGGTCGGTCGGGCTCGGGCGCGCTGGGGCGACCTCGTTGGTACTGACTTCCGTCTACCAGTCACCGCCGCCGCAGCGTCAGCAGCCACTGCGCAGCGCGGTACACCTCAGGCAGGGGAGGGTTTATTAGTCGGGCTCAAACAGAGAGGTGAAGTGGCGCACAAGTCTGCCCCGGCGGACCCGCGTGGGCGGCGGTGGAGTTTTCCACTGGGGCCCTCAGATGTGGCGCTGCGCCCGGTGTGCCGCAAGGAGGAATGCTGGCGCCAGGACGGAGCTCGAAACTGGAACCGGCCACCCTGGCAACTTCCAGGAAAGCAGGACAGGCAGGACGGCTGCTCAGTGCTCAAGGACTGAAGGACAGTGAGGACGCTCAACCCGACTATTCAAATGATGAGCCCGTGACAAGCGAATTGGCAATGTTGATTGCCATATGTAAATAATAAATTACTGTATTATGTACTGAAGTAGTCTACATGTATGCACGTATGCCATAACAGTTATGCATGCTATTGCATACGTGAGCATGCGATTATCTCGTGAGACCACCATTTCCTTTCCTAAGAGCAGCAATCCCTACGAGCAGCATTCCCATCATTCCTACAAAATACAACGCAGCATTGGAACTGCAATGGAATTGAATCGCATTATACGTTCTAAGCAGGGGAACCCCAGTTCAGCCCTGAGTAACACGTTGCAGCTTATAAATAAGTAACGTCACCCAACATAGGGGCCCGATTTAGCACTGGTTCTGAATAGACTTGGCGCA